TAACAATCCAAGTTCATAGTACTGTTTCGATTTACACGAGAAAGAATTCGTGATATTAATAATTTAAATATTGTGTAGACGTATGTAATGCAATAGTACACTAATGATTATCAAAGCGTCATGGACTTGCAACATCCACATGATCACCTTTCACCTAATATTCATTATTAAGCATATAATAATAACAACAAAAGATCCAGAAACAGTACATGGGTTCGAATTGAAGTTAGCAGTATCCACATTAGTCATTTTAATTTGTAGCTAGCTTGAGGGCTAAATGTAATTGTCTCTTAAATAGTTTATAAGGCACAAAACTGTGACTTTTCAAAAAAAAAAAAAAAAAAAAAAAAAAACTTTTTTTTTTTTTTTTTTTTTTTTTTCTTTGTTTGTTTCTTTTTTGTTTTGTTTTGTTTTGTGGATCGAAGCTTGAATCAAAGCTTTAATAAGGTTTTATAAACTTAACTCTATTGTTTTTACAGCTTATTAGAAAATTTTAAATATCACTTTTCATCCATTAACACTTTAAAATTGTAGCTAGATCTAAAAAACCATTGTTTTTACTCCTCTTCTACTCCCACGTAAATAAGCAAAATAATACCAAACGGGCTTGTATGTGAAGGGATATTTATAGGGTTATATATATATATATTCATATATTTGAAGAGAGGGTTATTTATATTTTTATGCCTTGGATTTTAGGTTTTTTTTCAGAAAATATATCCTTAATTTTTGATTTCATCAAATATATACCGTTAAATTATAATTAATACATAAATTTATACCTTTCTAGGTCAGTACTCAATTTTCACCTCTAAAATAATGAAAGCACCCTTAAATAAAAAACAATAAATTCTTAGAATTAAAATAAAAATAAAAAACAATTATAACCCATCACTTTGATGTGATACTTCTGGGTTCAGGCAACACTTGGGGTCCTTCAATGGGAAATAACTTTGAGTACTGTGTGAACTCAAACCACCTCAGAACACCAATACTTGCTTTAATGTTCCAATATTTGCATGGAATATCTTGCCTGTAATGTTGCCGTTGATGAGTTTGAGCTATTATCACACCCTTTAGTGTTCCAATTAAGAGAGCAAACAACAAATCCACAATTGGAATTATTCAAAAAAAAAAAAAAAAAAAACCATGTTTTGACCATGATAGATCCAACCCACAATTTAAATATCACTTTTCATCCATTACTAACACTTAAAAATGTAGTTCTAAACACTAAAAAGTAAAAACGCTTTTGCTCCTCTTCTACTACAATTTTTAAGTAATAAGCAAAATAATACCAAACGGGCTTCTATGTGAAGGAATATCTTATATATATATATATATATATAACCATTGCTTAGTTCATCGACCATTTGCATTTCTCCATTTAGTTGCCAAAACAATAACTTAATTAAGGAAATCAGACATATAACAAAAGAATTCCTTTGCAAGTTATTAATGAACTTCTGAATTGGAAAGTGAAATTTTCGTGAATAATATTACTAATTATATAAGATCACGCCTATGTTACAATTGATTACGTATGGCTATGTATAACTTTCCTTTATCTTCCATTATTAGATATTAATAGTGAGAATCAGTTCAAAGTGTTAAAGTATAAAAACTATTGTTGGTCCACTTCATAATAGTTTAAGCTTTTGGGATTGATTGGTAAACTAACATGGTATCAGAGCGGGGGGTTCTGAGTTCAAACCCCCGTAATTGCACTCTTTATCCCATTTAAAAATTATCATGTGTTGGGTCTTTAATATATCTTGGGCTTAAATATTCACGTGTTGGGCTTTCCAATTAATTTACCCACACGATTGCCCATTGTCCAGCCCACACGTGAGGGGGAGTGTTAAAGTATAAAAAATGATTGGTAAACTAACACAAAGGAAAAAAAAAATCAAGTTAGAATGTGTAAAAATGCTTCTAGCTTCTATCAACAGAATGCAGCAATCATCTTATAGGTTTTCATTGAGCAAAAAAAAAAAAAAAAACATGTATATGTGAGATAAATTAAACTCATTATTTATACAGATAAAAGACTTTAAAACACACCTGAGTATCAAAGTAAGTAAACAATTGACGCAGCATTAGAATTTAGAATTTGAGTTTTTTATTTTTATTTTTTTAGTGGATACGATAGAAAAATATTTAGAATTAAGCAGATAATATGTTTTTAGCAACAAAAAAAAAAAAAAAAAAACAACAGAAAATATGCAACACACGAATGAACCTTAGAGAGAAGTAAGCGAACTCATATATGTAAGGTGATCATTATAGAAGGTGTCAAATATTTATCTTTGCCAAACATGCATAATTTACATTTTAAACTAAAGAATTATTTAAAACACACAAAAAAATAATAAAAATTCAAAGAGAATGAACGCTAAATTAGTTTTTCTATAGGGACAGGACAACATATTGTGCATGATTTGGAGACTGGAGCGTGTTAATAAAATTATATTTAAACCCCATTTGGTGAATCTACTGCTTTTCTCCAACTTGTTTAACTTGCTATAAACACTTCTAATTAGTTAACGAATGTGCAAAATAACTTTAGGGCAGTTACAAAGACTACCACACCAACAATTATCATATTTCACTATCACAAGGAATTTTTTTTTCATATTTCGCCAATTACAATTGTCTATTTCTCAACTTCCCATTCAGTACAGGCGTCCTTTAACTTGTGGTTCATTTCCATTGTGCTCTTTCACTCCAAAATAAAATAAAATAAAAAGCATAAACGAAAAATAAAATAAAGTAGAATTTAAAGTGTCGTAATCTCGTAGTGTCAAATGCTGTGCATGCCTTTCGGCCTCACTGATTGATGATTTGGACGACACTATCTCCATGCTCCACTCTCTGTGACGCTATCAAATTTACGTTTTGGCATTATTCAAATAAATAAATCTTTAACTTTCAACTAAAATAAATAAATAAAATTAGCTTTTTTGGTGCGCTTTAAAAATATTAAGTATCGATAATTTTCTATTTTAAACTGTTAAATATTATCAAAATCATATTAAATTAAAAATTAAAAAAAATTTTCATTTTGGTACTCTTTTTTATATTGAAATTTGAGTTTGATACATTCTGTTTTTAAAAATTTCATGCCGGTACCTCGACTTTTTAGAAAATCTTTTTTTGGTATTTCGGAGCCCTTTTTTGAGATATAAAAAGGCAAAATTACCCTTATTATAAAAATTCATTTGTTGATCAACATTTTAAAGGAAAAAAAGATATTAAAAATTATTATACCCGTAGAGTGTAATCTTTTTTTAAAAATTCATCTCTTCAAAATCCTTTTTTTTAGTCAACAGACGAATTTTTATAAAAATGGTAATTTTATCTTTTCGTGTCCTAAAAAATGACTTTGTGGTACTAAAAAAAGATTTTTTTAAAAAGTCGAGTTACCGCTATGAAAATTTTAAAGACAAAGGGTATTAAACTCAAATTTCAATATAATAAAAGATATTAAATAAAATTTTTCTTAAAAAATATGTAAATTTGAGAGTTTTTTATATGAATCTAACCGCTTAAAAAAAAAAGAGAAATTGCAATGCATAGGCCAACATTTAAAACTTGTGGAGGTAAATAACTTATTTACTGAGTGTTAGAAATAAATAGGCCATTTGCAATTTTAAACCTTTTATCTTCTAGTTTCACCCTTTTTATAGGATTTGTTGTTTTTTTTTCTTTTCTTTCTAGAGCCCAGCCCTCTCTCTCTACTGACGTCTCTCTCTTTTCTTCTCTCGTCACTAAACGGCTCCTCTCTCTCTCTCTCTCTCTCTTCTGATCTCCATGCTTCTCTCCCACCCTCCCCGACTTCTCTCTCTCTCCTCTGGTAAAATCTAAGCTCAAACCTCGCCGTCAAGACTCACGACGGTGTAGTCGAGACAATGCGAGCCCTTTCGATGGTGACGAGTTTCATTGATCTGCATCCAGATCTTCTTACTGTCGTTCTAGATCTCTGCCTTCAATGTTAGTCGGCACCTCATGTACTGTGGTGGCCATGAAGAGAACATGGTGTCTCTAGAATAATTTAAATATATGCTTTTTAAGTAATATGTGCTAGAAAAAATATAAATAAATTGTCGATCGAAATGTAAATTTATAAGTTATGTTATGAACCATTAATTTGTGTCATTTGGTTTGAATCTCTTAAGTTTAGTATTGTTTTGATTAGTTCTATTGGCTATTAATGTTTGGGTTTTGCTTTGTGCTGGGTAAGACAATCTGATTGTCTAGTAGATGTTTGATGAATTGCTTGAGTTTACAACATGAGTACAACAAACGTAGAGAGAGAAAGAGAGAGCGCAAGAAGAGAGAGAATTTTAGTTTTTTCTTGGGTATCATTTTAATTTTTTTACAGGGGGGTACTTTTGTAAATTTAAGTGTTGGTAAATCTAGATTAACAGTAAATGGTCTATTTATTAATTAGGGAGAAAGAGGAAAATAGGCCAAGACTTGAGATAAATTAAAATTAATAGGCCAATAGTTTACATAAGTTAATAAATAGGCTAAATTACTGTTTTCGTCAATAACTTGTCTGGTTATGAACCATAACTTGACAAGTTATTTACGGTTTTTATCCATAACTTGTCTGGCTATGAACCATAACTTGACAAGTTTGTCCATAATGTATATGGTTATGAACCATAACTTGACAAATTATGGCCTATTAATTTTTATAACTAAAAATTGACCTATATACTTTCTTAAACTTTTCATATTGGCTTATTTTCTACTATTTCCCTATTAGCTATTCCTAAACTTTGGACTATTAATTCTTATTACTCTCTTAATTAGGCCTATTTCCCTCTTTCTCAAAAAAAAAAAAAAAAAAACTACTAGCACCTCATTTTTTCTTAATCAGACCCGACAATATCTGGACTAAGCCTGGTGCGGTCTATAACCCATGGCTTAATTGGGCTGACAATTTCTAAATGAAATTGGGCCTTCCAAATTAACCCAAAGTCACTGAAACAGTGAATGCTTATGGGTTTTACCTAAAACCCCGCAAACCTCCGAAACAGAGAGGGTAGGGGAGAGAGAGATGTTGCGGTCCATTGTTCGAGGAGCAGCGGTGAGAGGTTCACCGCCGTGGTGGCGCCTCTCGCCGACGGCGAATTACGCGAAGACGCCGAGGGGCACGAAGAAAGAGATCAAGAGAACGAAGTCCAAGGGGAAGGACGCCGACGCCGACGCCGTCCCGGCCTCCGACATCGACGCCGCCCTCTTCGAAGAAGGCGCTCGGGCGCGGCGGCTCGCCTTGGACGAGAACGATCCCTCGCTCGATGTGCGACCCAACGGCCGGCCTCTCTTCACCTCCACGCCTTCTCTGTCCCAGCTCACTCCCGCGGACACCGGCAAATACTTCAAGTTCAAGTTAGGGAAAAATCTTAGCTAGTTCTATTGCATATGCAATGTGATTGTGTTTATGGATTTGAGTTTGAACTTTGCGATCGTTCGTTTTCTGTAGAATAGAGGAGTTGAACGATGTGTTGCCGGAGGGGCTGCCGGCGGGGATGGTGAAGGAGTTCGAGGAGTCGCTGCGGACCGCCCTGCTCGTTCGCCAGAGTTTTCTCGATCTTCGCGATAATTTCCGTCGCGTTGTGGATCCGCCGTTGTCGTTCCCCAACAGTAAAGGTCTGTGCTTTGGAAAATTCAGTTCTTTTAGGAGATTTTTATCAACTAGTGTTAAACTGTTTTCTTTTTATTTCTAATGTAATATGATTCTATAATGTGATTGTGCTGTGACGGTTTAAAACTGTATTTTATCAAGTAGCTTGCTACCTTGAAAAGAAATGAATTTGGGTATAAGATACACAATGCAGAGACATATAGAAACTAATGATATATGAAAATGGGTAGTTTCATTTTTTGGGCATTTGGAAAATGTTGCAGAAACGTTAGCCGTTTGACGGCCTATATTACCCATTGGACAAATTGCAAGATGTATGAACACATAAGCATGCCTATTTTTATGAAGGAATGAAAGTGCAGCACTTTAAGATAGGCCGTAGGTCAGATGCACTACACATTTATCTGTGTTTGATTTTATTTTTCAGATGTAAAAGTTAAAAAGCAGATTGTGTTGGATGGTCCTGTTAGCTGCGGCAAGAGTATTGCGCTTGCAATGCTTGTTCATTGGGCTCGTGACGAAGGTTGGTTGGTTTTCTATGTCCCAAGAGGCAAGAAGTGGACTCATGGAGGGTTTTTTTATAAACATCCAGAAACGGGTCTTTGGGACACACCTGTTCAGGCTGAAAGTATTCTCAAGGCAAGAATCTGAAGTTCTCTCTATTAGTATATAGTGACAGTTTTATAGGTGGTGAAGTGCAATTAACTTAAATCTCGATTACTAGTCCATAGATTTATCAAGATTCAAAAGTCTTGAATAACAGGAGGAGAAAGAAAAGGATATCAAATAATAGTGACTGATTATGCAATGTTGGTATTACTTATTTCATTCATCAAACAAACCTGGGTACGTCATTGAGCTTATCTTATTTACGACTATTATTTATTTGGAAAATCTATTTACGGCTATAATAGAAAAGCTGTTTTTTGTGTATGCTCATGATGCATGTAAATTTTAAATGATCTGAGTCTCCGATGGCATATTTTATGTAGTCCTTGCTATGCCATTTTGTTTATGCGTTATTTCTATACACATCCAGGATTTCCAGAAATTTAACGAAGCCCGTTTACAACAATTGCCATGCCAACTATCTGATCCTATTCCATTGGGAGAAGGTGCCGGTGTTGGATGGATAAAAGATGGCAGCATTTCCATGGCACTTCCAGAGGGATCGACTTTATATGACCTGATCAATATAGGAATCAAGCACACTTATGCAGCCGTTGGAGTAGTAGTTCGTTTGAGGAAGGAGCTGTCACTTGTGAAAGATGTTCCTGTGCTTATCGCAATTGATCAAGTGAGATATATTTTTGTACTAACTCCCGTTGTTATGCACTGCTCAGTTTTTTTTTTTTTTTTTATTGTATTATTTTTTGGGATTCTCAACAACTCTCTTATTCGTTTCTTTTACTTTTCTCCAGTATAATAATTGGTTTACCTTCAGTAAGTATGAGGAGGCAGTCACAGTTCATTCTACTCGACCAATACATGCTAGGGAGCTCTCTACGGTAAAATACTGTTTGATTGAGATAATTTTATATTTTTTTACAGTACTTTATTAATTTCTTTCCCTTCTCTGTTTTGTGTTGTAAAGTTTTATCTGTATCATAAAACGAAAATGAAATGTGTGCTCACTTCACATCAGTTTATGAATGGTAAATACAAAACTGATATGCTGCTTGTGACAAATCCTTGCAGGTGAATGCTTTCAGATCCATGATGCACGATGACATGATGGTGGGTGCTTTCTCTCATTCTACAGCGGTAGGAAAACTACGACATCAATTGCCTGACGTTCCCATCGATGCTCGTGTTAATCTTCATCGCTACACTTTAGAGGAAGCGGAAGCTGTTTCCTATTACTACCTTAGGTAAGCCACTAAATGCTCCCAAAGTTTGCCGTATTTCACTGCTTGCCAAACATTTATTATAATTAGAAATACTGAAGATTGTTAAACATGCTATCCAAAGATTACCTGGGTTGGTGATTGATGAATTTGGATACTAACTCCTAGAAAAGATAAATATTTATAGCTGAAGACTGTTACATGCTATCCTTGAAGGTTCGTTACTATGAAGAGTATGAACCAATAGTTAGGGCCGGCAATATGGGTCACAACACGACAACACGATTCGAAAACGACACAAATTTCGTAGGTTAGGGTTGAGAAAAAAGAGGTTCGGGTCAGAATTGGGTCGACCTGAAATTGACACGAAAATCACGGGTCAATTTTGGGTTGGACCCGCCTAACCCGAACACGATACGAAACTCGTAAAAAAACTAAAAATACATATATTTTTCAGTACATATTTTTAATTTTATTATGAACTTGTGATATCATGATAGTTATACTTTAAATCTTATACTATTATTTGCTTAATTTCAATGGATGTTATTGTATTTTAGTGTGTTACGAATTTTAAGTTATTTCTAATATGTAAAAAAACTAAATAAAAGTATACAATTTTCGTGTCAATTTCGGGTTCACGGGTCAATTTCATGTCATAGGTCATTTTCGTGTTGTGTCGTGTCAACCCGAAAAGTTATCGTGTCATGTTCGTGTTGCGGTTTTTAAAAAATTTCGTGTCACGGGTCGTGTTCGGGTTGACTGTAAATTTAAAAAGAAACGATCAAAACACGACACGTGACACGAATTGCCACCCGTACCAATAGTGATGAAACGGAAGCCTAATTGTCAGGGAACTACTCTTTTCATATCCAGATATCACCGATTTTTTCCAACGTTTTTGACAATTATATGGTATAAATTGACTACCTTTGTTGAGGCACCCCGGGTTTTAAAAATGCGTGAATGCTGAATGTGTGTGTATGCCTGCACAAAAAACACACAGCATGCGTCGTCAATTTTCTTCTGGCGAAATGTTGGCTGGGTGTTGTAGCTTATATATGGACTTTGGGATTTTCAACCTCACCTATTGTTGTTTTCTTGCAGACAGAGACTTGCATCTCGCGATGCGTTCTCCGATGAAGGCTGGAAGAAGATGTATTACTTATCTAATGGAAATGGATCAGAGCTGAGATTCTTGATGCCTTTCATGCAGTGGCGCTTAGAGGATACTCCTTATGCAGATTCTCCTTACGCACGTAAAAAGTAACATGCTTCTGCTCTCAATTATATTGTTTCCAGCAGATGTGCCATTATATGTTCTGATCCTAATAAATTTTGTCGCCGAGGAAATTTTTGTCCAAGGACTGTACCATTTGTCAATCAATTTTTTGAAGCAATTTTGTTACCTTAAAAAAAATTAAGGGATTATTTCTGTCAAATGTTTCTACATTGTTGTTTTATTGAAAAAGCAGAGAATTTACCTTGAAAGTGCACCTCTTACTCTTGATAAATGGCATTTTGTTATTGTAATTATTTGACTAAAAAAGTTATGAATCAAGAGTAAAAAATAAAAATCATGACTCAATACACTTTTAAGGGGTATTTGTCAAGATTACTGTTGTTTATTTTCTATGAAGCCTATCTGCATCTTCTCATGATGTTGTTTGTGTTTCATGATGTTATTGAACACAAACATTCTTGTTCACTCACAAAAGCGGATATTTTTAAGAGTTCTCTATCCAAAATTCATGTATTGCGGTCGTTGTCTATACATGTAATCATTGTCACAATAAATTGAAATATGGAAAGAAAAAAAAAAAAAAAAGAGAAACAAAGAAGCGCTGTGGTCACGAAGACTGTTTGTCAAATGTAAAACTAGCCGGTGTCAAATTCTGATGATTGAAGAGGGAAACATCCAACGAAAACAGGTTGCCGAGTATGAAGAAAGAACTCTCGGTGCTTATTTATGGTTTTAATCCAACTGAAAGGGGGTAATTCATATCCAAAATTGCTAAAACTTTTAGCCCGCTCGAGATTGCTGGTTAATCGAAAATGAGCCAAAAGTGAAAAGTAGGATTCATATGCAGCAGAATTTCCAAACCAAAAAACTATGCACTTACAAAAAAGATGAGGATCCAAATTCTATACTGATGATTCCAGTCATCTTAGTACGGATTGTGATCCGGTGACCGATACAGCAATGAGCAGAACAAAATTTTGCTACGTTTATCACGAGTATTAGTACAATGGTAGTGAGAACTCACGTGAAAATCAATAACGAGTTTTTCCTCTTCCATGGGGAGGCAAAAAAACCGGAGTATTTTGTCCATGGAGATACTAAAGTCGGGATAAACCTCATCCTGGTTTTCTCTCACCACCGTGCTTTTTTTCTCTTCAACCAAGTTAACGAACACCACACAATAATTCAAGCAGCTTTTTCACTGCATGTTTACTCTTTATTCTTAAACTTCAATGACATGGACCCGCCTTGCATAGTGGTGCAACTGGGATTGCAAGGGAAAATCCACATCTGATAGATCAATCCAAATCAGAAGGGAGACTGGCACAATGGGCAAGTTGATTTATGAGAAGTTGAGAACCACTTGTAAAGGCAAGCAGAATGGAACTTGTGCTTGCAGGTCTTGCAAGCGAGGCGGGGAAGGCTGTTGTTTGCAGTATGGATGACACTATAACATATAGGGCACTCCTCAACCCCTTCAAACTCCTTGTCAAAATTGCGCTTCCATATTCCAATAGCTTCTGCTAAAGCTCCATTCTGCATCACAAAAGTAAAGCAAATTATCTACTTTGATCAAGAAGTCCTCTTATTATGCCTGTTCACGTCATTTTAGTACTGTTCTACACAAATATTAGAAAGTGACGGTAGCTTTTAATCTCCCTCCCCGTTAAAATCTTCCAGAAAGTAGTTACTAGCAGGCAGTTTTGCTGCTGGATTGAATTGCACAAATTCAGTCTCGATAGCCATTTCCAAAACTTTATCCTCATCAAATCATTCTCCTTATAGTTTATCGTTAATAAATCAGGGCATTAGCCTTCCATTACTAGAATGACAACACGTACAAACATGAAAAAGGTTAATTCAAATACCTGATTGCGTACAAAAGACATCATAGACATCAACCATTTCCTCTGCTTCACATCACTAATCCCTAGGTTCCTTGTACAATCAACGTCTACAGGTCGTAATGGGTAAGATGCAGGAAGACGAATCACAAGATCCATCCCTGTTTCATCCTTTGTATAGGTGGCAACAGCCTCATTTGCCGATTTGCTTACACTTACTGAAAAATTCTCATCAGCGAATTTATTCTTCTTGATCTGCATTTGAAAATGAAACTAGGTGAATATCACAACCCTTGTTGATACAGTTCTCTTATTATTAGTTATCACAGCGAATATTTCCCACCACCATTTAATAATCACAATGAACGATTTACACACTATTTTGAAGCTGTATGCATGTGTTGCATGCATTGCGCATGTTTATCACCTGGGATTTGGCATCAGTGTGGATGTATCCATGCATTTGAAAGCATTATCATAACAGACATGCCAAAAAAAGAAAACACGCACGCGCGCGCACACACATATATCTTTATAGAAAGAGAGAGAGAGAGAGAAGTGCCAAGTGCACACACACCTGCGACAACTCATTTGCAATAAGATAAGGGCTGCACCATGCCCTAGTGAAAGATTCAATTAAAGATGATGTAGAACGGTCACGCAAACTATTGAACCATTCTCTGACATAAGCAGGAAGAACACGGAGCATTAAGCCAAATAATGCTCCCGCAAGTGAAGCCAATTTCACTGGTTCAACAGGCCAAAAAGTTTCTATAGAATGTAACACCGAACCAGTTGTGATGGCATGGGTTGCTGCAGTTGCAGCCTCTGAAACCCCTGCAGGAAGCTCTAAATCTTTCTTCTTAAGATTCTGTGCCATGCAAAGTTCTACAGGAATATGCTGGAAAAGGCAGTCTAATGTAACTGGACTAACAGAATCTTGTATATACTGAACAAGTCTCTCCCTTGCACGTGATGATGATGGCAATGACCCCAAATACGAAAGCAACAAAGACCATGCAAGGAAGACATTTACCTGAAAAGTCGAAAGGGTGTATCAAAACTTAAATTTTACACGTACAAGAAAGGAAAAGTATGTATAATAATGAAACCTCAAAGCCACAAAGAAATGGCATAACCAAATAAAGCATATTACCCGTTGTTGTGCCATCAAATCCATTTCAAGGACCTCAAAAGGTAACTTTTCAATAATGAAACATATTTCTTCTCTTAACTGGACACTTGTTTCTGTTGACAAATCAACAGGGCGTGAATCCTCTTCAACATTATTGTTACCATCCAAGAGAGTATCCTCCTCAACAATAGCCCCACTTGAAATAGGTTCAGTTGAAAGAATAACATAAGCAGCAAACTGCAATGAAGAAACTGGTTTGGAAGAAAAAAGAATAGCATACAAAGAGCTAATGGGCCCTTTGCTTAATCCCCAAAATTCTACCGACTTCACTGCTCTATCTCTAGCATTCGTTGAGGAGTTAACAACATTTGAGGCAACTAATTCCCAGAAATAAAGATGCTCAAATCGAGATGAAGATATGATAGATGCAGCCTCATGACAAAAGGAAGTTGCAATAGCCTCAGCAATGCCTGTGCAGAAGAACAATCGTAGAATACCTTCAAGTATTCGGTCTTTGATGGGTTCCCATCTCTCTGTTCCAAAAGGGTTTATGTTTTCTGCATCTGCTAATTGTTTAATCCCAAAAGGTCCACAACAAATAGAAAATGACAGAAGGGCATTCTTAGCAATGTCAAAAGGAAAAGGGTCTGAAAATAAAACAATTTGCTCAATCTTTTCAAGGTTATAATCCATGTTATCTGAAGTAACATTCTTATTGACAGTATCATCCACATTCTCAGTAATTTCCTCCATTATAACAACCACTGATTGAATCCAACGCCTTAACTGAGAAAATACATATTCCCAGTCTTCCTCGTCAAATTCCTTCCAACAATAACCAACTGAAACAGCTATGAGCTTTGATAGCAGTAGCTGGACAGCTGGTGGATGATTAGTAACAGTAGATGTGCCTACACCACATCTTTGTTTGCGGAACAACTCAAGTAGAAGTGTCTTCTCCACAGGGCCAACAATTCTCCCCAGATTCAGTGCTTGTATGCCTCTGATGGCATTGAAAGGATAACAAGATATAACCAACTGAAACCACTCTTCCACATCTACCGAAAAAAAACAAAAAAACAAAACACCTATTAAAAAAGAAGAAATTACCATACAATTAACAAAGAGGAACATAAGAACTATCAATAACTCTTTGCAAATAGAACAAAAGCAGTGGAGGCTGTTGCTAACTGATGCTCCTAAATGGAGCATGTCCTAGATCTAGGTTCAATTAATTGAAACTCTACATCTCCATCCTCATCCCTCCTTTTCACTGATATATACACAATTCAATATTCAAATGTTTGGGAATTGATTCCTTATTGACTTAAAAATAAATAAATAAAGCATTTACCTTGTCCTGTTTCTGACGTGACCAAAGGTGGAAACGATAGAGTTCTTTTCAGCCACCCAGTAATGGTATCTTCTATATCATGTTCAGCATCTCTACCAGTTTCAACAGATTCGTTTTCAAATAGTGGCTGAACAAGAATGGTAACAAGCCGAGGAAGAATCCTCAAACAGTTCATATTTACAGCTTCACCAATACAAAGCTTACTTACAAGCAATTCAAAAACCGTCCCAGCTTTGCTTCTTTCCCATATTTTTTCCATAAACAAAGTCGAAAGGAGAGATATGAGAGCTCTCAGAAATGGTTCTTCAATATCCGTTTCAGTAATTGACGCAGCCCATGGACTGACAAAACTCTGCCCACGACATCCACCATGCACAAGAGCACCATCAAGCAAAATGTTGAAGATGGAATCCAACAAACTCTCCTTGGAAGGACAACTGCTACTCTTGGCATATGCACTCAATAAAGGTAAGAAAGAAGCTACAGCATTGCCTCCTGGCCACTTCCAGGTGCACAATATTTCAGCAGCAAGCCAGGCTCGTGTAGTTACCTCTTCATCTGTTGTTTCTTCTGAGAGAGATGTATGCTTAACATGACTAGTAAAAACCCTATCAATCCCTAGTTTTAATATAAGCTTGTCAAGGAAGGAAACAAACTTGCAATGGCCAGAATCCTGCATTTGTCAAATATCCACAATTTTTATGTTATCCATTGCACATAATTAACAAAGTTTGTTATGTATGATCTATTTACGTATAGAATAAACTCTAACATGAAATCAAATAGCTTCAGGGAGATGATCGATATGGTGTAATGCAAAAGGAGTTGTGTTTCTTCTTTGGAATGTGTACAGAATAAACTAGTATGAGTAGTTGCTAGACTATCTCTCTTCTCGAGTAAGCTGACAGATCAAATTTACACAGCTTTAATCTAAGTATGTGAAATTCAATACGGGATCAGCCGTGCACAAGAGCTTCAGAAAAATTATTGAAAGACAAAGTTCAATAACATTACAATAACAATGTTGAAACTATTCCTAAGCACCGACAGGGTGAGAAACTAAGAATTGAAACCTGAGCTGTGACTCAAGCAGGAGCATCTGAAGCTCAGTTCAAATGACTTCATATGGCAAAAAATCTTGACAGATTCCTAAACAACTTTACATGTTCTATAAAGGATAGGCTCGTGATACTATGTCCTCGGAGAGAGAGAGAGAGAGAGAGAGAGAGCAAAAGAATTATCAATAGAATACCATAATATTTCAAAGTTACGAATCACTCACATGACCAGTAACAGGTGCGTTTTTGAGACCTAATCGCTCTGCAATGCTAAAATCTGGAACAATCCACAAAGGCCACATGTCACTCTTGTAAAGAAGTTGGCTTAACAGATCTTGCTCTTCAGATTGATCTTGACAGAAATAATCCAAAACTTCAAGCACCCACATGCAGCATGAGGAAGTAATATTCTCCGTATTAAGTTTGTCTTCAGTGAAGAGAGCAGATCTAATGCATTGAACCAAGATACTTTGTAACCTCTTCAGATTCTGTATGTTTAGGCATTTCTGGAATTGATTACTTCGCTTGCAGCAAAAGACATGAACAGATTCACCAAAATCTAGTCTGGCCTTAGATGCTCTTGTTGTTTCATCATCAAAAGGATCGTCACTAGACCGTCCCATCCTATACTCCCAATCAAGGACCAAAACAGCGGCCAAAATACTTGGAACTAAGTCACTTTCTTCACAGAGTGCTTTCAAGCAAAAAACGCTACCATCAAGTACTTGCAGGGCAAATTCAGCCTCCTCAGCCATGTCAACAGAACTCTTTGATTCTAAGAGAGAGTTGACTGCCCCAGCAGTTAACATAGAACATGCATGTCTAACCCAATTAGATGAGGATTCCAGAATAAACAAAAGTAATTTCTTCAAAATTTCCTCAAAAATCAGAATTGATGCATTCCTGGACACAAAGGATGTTTCATCACCTTTTGTCGAACCACCAAGAACAGCACTGCAATTAGAAAGACAATTTAAGTGTTTCAGTTTGGAATTCTCAAAACAAGTTGCTTAAATAAGAAGTTAAAAGCATCATGTCAAAGCCTTCTTATTCACGCACCACAGAAACTGAGAATTTGAATTCCCAGCGGAAAGAGGGGAACGCACTAGAGCAAGTGCAGTTGATTCTAGAAGATCACAGTGCCATTGCGCTGGGTCTGCACCTGGCCGGTGCGTTGAATCTTCACCTGCCTTCCTTTTTGTAAGTTCATTTCTTGCTTTCTCTAAAAGTAATGCCAACATGGTTATTTGGTCTGGTTCTAGGGACTGAGGCGCAGTCCCAGAACCTTCTAGGTTAATAGCATAAGTAATAACAGCATGCCACTGGTCAGAGAAACATTCATTGTCAAGCAATGTGAGCAAGAGATCAAGGCGGGCAGTTGTAGACTGATCACAACTGCGCAAACACCAGGGAACAAAATTTGTTTTGAATATTTGCATGAATTCATCTACTACCAACTCTCCATCTACTTTATCATCAGGAGTATGGGAATGCTCTTCATTATGAACAAAAAGTTCTCCAACAATCTCGCGAGGTCCAAATACGGAAACAGCAGTAGATAGAAGTTTTACATTTTCCGGTGAGTCCTAGTGTCAACAAGACCAAACAAATATAAAAAATGTAAATACCTAAGAGGAAAAATGACAAAAATAAGATAGAAAAAACATTTCGAACAAGTAACCATCTTGAAACAGTTAAGAGGGACTAAGAGTGGAATAGAACACAGACAATACATTGACGCAAAGACAAATCCTGTTTATGCCTTCAGTCAGTTGAAAGGCATCACAGCTTTGAAGTGAAAGAAAGACGTAGATGTCTGGGCGCAAACTTCTTAGTTATTCTCAGAAACAAATGCATGATAACAACTTAACAATGGTTCAATTTTGGTTCTGTTGACAGAAAGCTTTATGTAACAAGGATAAATCCGATGACTAGAAAATCATCGCAAACTGATGAATAGCTACTTACAAGTGATCTTATTACTGGGAAATACTTGGCCAACATTGGTCCCACTAGATCAACCAAAGGCCAACTTTCACCTTTCTGCATAGCATGCTGCCCTAGTAACCAGATAAATTGAGTGACCCGTTCTACACTTTCAGCTGCTGTTACTGTGTTCGGGGCATGCTGAAATAAACCCAGGCAACTTTCATGAAATTCCGTACAAAAGGCAGAGAGCAAACTGTGTTCAAGGAAAAAGATGCCCGAAAGAACATCAATTATGCAGCTCCTCAGGTCTTGTAGATAGCTTATTGGATACTTAATTCTTGATGCTTCTTCTGTCTTCTTGCTCAAAGGCAATTCTCTGTCCCCCGAAGAACGTGCAGATAATTCAGAGGGGACACTCTCCTGTTTATTTGAGCTAATAAAAGAGAAATAGTCGTGCCACAAAATCTTCACCAGAATGTTGTCAATGAGTGTGACTCGAAAATGATATATCGAATCCACTTCGTCATAATATCTGCCACAAATGAGGAAAAAAAAAATATATATATATATATATATAATACAAAAATTTATTGGAAAATACTTAACAATAGACATTAGCATGCAAATTCAGCAGATAGAGAAGCAGCAGAGGCACAGGTATCTAAACGACATGAGACAATGGACCTACCTTGATGCATTATGCAATCCCCAAATAAAGCACTCTTTAAATGCACCAAAAAATGCTTGTCTATCTGCAGTTGAGGAATTAGACACACTCCTTCCAGCCCAAAGGTTCTGGAAAAATTCAGGGAAAAACCTCTCCCCCACTATTGCTTTTGGTGGCACACAGTCCAAGAATAAAACCAAAGCTGGATAAGAAACCCGATGGGATCCAAAGCACCCATTTCTAAGAAAATGCCAAACGCGGTTTAGTATAGCTTTCTGGACATTCAAGGAAGTCCAACTGTCGGGAAATCTTTTAGAAAATAGCAAAATCATGTCCCACATTGATGAATGACAAGCAGGATCCTTCTCCTGAAATGCACCTAGTATTATTCCAGCCATAGTTTTCATATTTCCTTCATTAAAAACATGAGGAACATTCTTTATGAAACTCCTTAATACTGAATATGTAGCTGAGCGAATGGCAGCACTTTGAGATTTTAGGAAATCTGAAAAAAATTTGTGAGCCATAAACAACTTTTCAGCAGAAGAGATAGCAGCCACCTTCGCCTTCGAAGCATGCTTTGATTGAGCAGTTACAGTCTCAGGGGCTGATCTTTCTAATTGAATACCAATCAAGACATCAAGGAGAGTGGCTAACGCCAGCAATGATGAAGATATTACCTACACCAAAATAAAAGAAACGCAACAAAGATTCATCATTAGAACATCTACTAACTTGTTTACTTCTCCAAATTTAATTTGTCCTTATGCTCATCTCTTCATTGACATCATAAATGTCGTCACAATACAAGGCATTCCAAATAAAGTAATTTATGAAAAGCTTGTCTGCATTTTAAAATGTTAGTGGAACTATCTTTGTATACTGGCTTTAAATGATCTGTATGTCATTCCATTTTGGAAAACAGATGTTGGCTTTCATATGGCTAATAACCAAATGAAAGTCTAAAAAGTAAGGATAAATGAAGTATACATTTTGACTCGAAGTGAAGATGCTATAACTATTCCGAACAAATATATTAATATAGTTCCATTTTGACAACCAAAAATTCAAAAGTTAGATTTTTTTTTAAATTAGATTTTTTCTTTTTAAAAGGAAAAACAAAACTCTATGTTGAGTTACGTAGAACAAACATGAACCTTCTTATAGTTATCTTTAATATGAAACCTGTACCACAGTACATATACCAAAGGGAACTCCTTTAACTAAACAAGGGTCAGTAGGTAAGACACAAACAACAGTAACTCCAGAGTGTATACCTGATTATGCATCTCTTGTAATTCATCCAAAGCAGCTGCTTTATCAGTCATATCTTTTGGTGTGAGCTTCAAATTTTCTTCCAAATACATAAGAATTTCTGTTGTGCATAGAATTAAAGCATCTAGTCGCTTTTCTTGAGCTGTGAAAGCTGCCTGTTGTCAACATCCGAATTGAGGTTCATACTCAAAAATTTTTTGAACATAAGTTTATTACTTAAAGTCACAACCGGGTGGACAAGCTACAGAATTTTTAGTTAGTGGGACCACCCGCACACACACAGACACAGACACAGACACAGACACACACACAGAGACAGAGACAGAGACAGAGACAGAGACAGAGACAGAGAGAGAGAGAGGACGAACTAGATTAGGATTTTTAATCTAAATAATATATTTATCTTTTAGGATATATTTTATCTTTATTTTTAAAATTAATATTTATCTTTTAGGATATATTTTATGTTTATTTTTAATTTTAAATTAGGATAATGTTTATCCCATAGGATTATTTTGAATAAGTTTGTCTTTAAATGTCTATAAATACATTAGTGATTGTAATTTCATTCAAGCTTTTGATGATTAATGAATACTGATATTTCAGTTTACTCCTCTTTAGTTCTTGTTCTCCTATTTTCTATCTCCCTCGTAATTCTTTTTATCTATCTTGATTCTATTTCCCCTCTTCATTCTCTTATTCTATCTAAAGTCTCCCCTGTTCCCTAATTTCTGCCCAGTCCTACATTAATGTGTGTGTGTGTGTGAGAGAGAGTGAGTGACAACACCAAGCTAAATGGAAGGGCATTTCCATTATAAATTTGTTAGGAACTCATAGTATATACAGAAATGTCTAAATGTAACCTTCTTTAAGGGGATTTTTTTTTATAGTTAATACAGGCACCTTCTTAATGAGTTTGCAAATGCGTTTGCACATATGAACTATAAACGAATATGGAGAAGAAAATAATATGTATATTCAACATCGGTAGGTTTGCAATGTATACTTAAATATTAATTACAGGGAAAACTATTCTAGGAAAGACTAATAACTATGGAAAGTTAATAGCTGTACAAATCAATTCTAATCGCTACTTTCCTAATCTTCTTCAATCATACTCTTTGACTTAATCTTCTATGATCAGCCTAATTATTCCTAATATTCAGTATAATTGATACCGAATATCTCCTTCAACACTCCCCCTCAAGCTGGCTTGTAGATGTCCTCCATAGGTAGCTTGCTTACTAGGACTTCGAACTATCTCTTCTGTAGTCCTTTAGTAAGTATATCAGCTGTATGTTGAATGGTTGGTACATATGAAACGCAGATTAGGCCACTCTCAATGTTTTCTTTGATGAAATGCTTGTCAACTTCAATGTGCTTTGTTCTATCATGTAGAACTGGATTGTGAGCTATTGAACTAGCAGCCTTGTTGTCACAATACACCTTTATGGGAAGTGGAACCGAGATGTTCAAATCCTTAAATAGCCTTTTGATCCATATTACCTCACAAATCCCGTGTGCTAGAAATCTGAATTCAGCCTTAGCGCTACTTCTGATAGCCTTTTGATCATCTATCAGTCGTGCTTCCTGCCCAATCCGCATCTGTATAGACTTCGACTTGTAGATTATCACTCTTTTTGAACATTAGTCCTCTACCAAGAGTTCCTTTTAAATACCTCAAAATCATGTAGGCTGCATCAAAATGCTCTTGTCCCGGTGAATGCATGAATTGACTCACCACGCTTACGGCGAAGGCTATGTCAAGACGAGTATGTGACAAGTAGATTAATTTACCTACCAATCGCTGAAATTTCTCTCTATCAATCACATCTTCTGGTTTTGCTGGAGTAAGTTTCAAGTTGGCTTCAATTGGAGTTTCGGCAGTTTTGCATCCTAGAAAGCATGTTTCACCGAGTATATCAAGAATATACTTTCTTTGATTTACAACAAATCTTGCTTTCGATCTTGCAAATTCCATACTAAGAAAGTATTTTAGTGTCCCCATGTCTTTGATCTCGAAGTCTTCTGCCAGTTTTTTCTTTAGCCTGGTCATCTGCCAGTTTTTTCTTTAGCCTGGTCATTTCTTCAAAGTCATCACCTGTTAAAATTATGTCATCTACATAAACAATTAGAATTGCAATTTTTTCCCCTTCTGAGTGTTTGTAGAACATGGTATGGTCTGCTTGGCTTTGGTGACCGATGGTTTTTTACAGCCTTTCCAAAGCGTTCAAACCACGCCCTTGGAGACTGTTTAAGACCATATAAGGACTTCTTGAGTCTGCAGACTTTGTCTTGGCTAAAAAACTTTTCAAATCCAGGAGGTAGACTCATAAACACCTCTTCTTCCAAATTGCCATTAAGAAAGGCATTCTTCACGTCTAACTGGTATAACGGCCAGTTGGAATTCACTGCAAGAGACAACAACACACGGATAGAATTAATCTTGGCTACAGGGGCAAAAGTTTCTTGGTAGTCAAGACCATAAGTTTGAGTGAACCCTTTAGCCATAAGTCTCGCCTTGTATCTCTCTACACTTCCATCGGCCTTGCATTTTACAGTAAATACCCATTTGCAACCGACTGTTTTTTTGCCTCTTGGTAAATCCTCAATCACCCGAGTTCCACTTTTCTTCAGAGTATTCATCTCTCCATCACTGCTGATTTCCAATCGGAATTATCAAGTGCTACATGGATGTTTCTCGGGACAAACAAGTCAGAGATTCTAGATGTATAGGCCTTATGTTTAGGAGAAAGTCTGTCATAGGACAAATATTTGGCTACTAGGTAATTAGTGCAAGAACGTTTTCCTCTTCTAAAGGCTATAGGAATATCAAGATTATAAGGTTCTTGTATGGGAGACTCATTAGGTATAGTCACATTAGTTGATTCTAAGGAAGTATTATTATGTAAAAAGGTGTCTAGAGTACCTAGAGTGTTTATAGGTTCGTTACTCGGAGCCTCAGTTGAGCTTGCACTAAGGGAATTGTTAGCAGATAAGTGTTTTTTTAGAGAGTTTGAATAAGTCAAATAGTCTTTTATTTAGTTTATTATTTCCGGTTATATGGATTAGGAGTTATCAGTTAGGATTTAAATTCAAATAGAGTAGATTAGCTAGTAGAAATCTTTCTGCCATAAATCTAGGAGAAGATAATAGACTCGGTATTCTAACCATAGTCTATTTAAGTGTGCTTTCATTCAATTAATAAAACAAGGTAGTTTAATTAACTTGCGTTCATGGTATCAGAGCCTTGAACTCTGAATATTTCAATGGCAAAAGCAGCCATGATGGGATCTTCACGTGGGGATGATTCCAAATCAGAAAACTCCAACAAAACTCACGCCGATCAGTCCGTCACGGCGTTTCAAGGTGGAGACAATAACTCGCTCCAAATTACGGCTCACAAACTCAATGGAAAAAATTATCTTCAATGGTCTCAATCAGTAAAGATTGTGATCTGTGGCAGGGGAAAATTCGAATACATCACTGGTGGAGCCCATGATCAGCCGCCGATATCTCTTTCTTCCTACTGCTAAAGACGTATGGGATACTGCAAACAGAACATATTCCGATCTCGGCAACGCCTTACAAGTTTTCGAAATTCGCACGAAACTGAAGGAGATGAAACAGGGAACCAAATCGGTTACCCAGTATTTCACCGATTTGCAAGACAATTGGCAGGAACTGGACCTTTTCCTTGAAGAAGATTCGGTTTACCCAACGTGCAATGTGAAGTAGAGACAGACCCTTGAAAAAGAATGGGTATTCGAATTTCTTGCTGGATTGAATCGGGATCTTGATGAAGTCAGGAGCCGTGTTTTAAGCAGAGTACCATTCCCAACAACCGAAGAAGCCTTTGCCGAGGTTTGTAGAGAAGAAAATCGCTGGAAAGTTATGTTGTCAGAGGAAGAAACATCCGGTGTAGCATCAACAGAAGGCTCGGCTCTGGCAATCAGAAATACTGCACAACCAGTAAGGAACAACAGTGAGTCTAGAACCCCACGGCGTGGAGAACAAATGTGGTGTGACCATTGTAATCAACAAAGACATACTCGTGACATATGCTGAAAAATTCATGGTAAACCCGCAAATTGGGTTCCCCGAAGACAGAATGAAGGACGAGCACTTCAAACTCAATCAAACTAAGACAAAGGAGCAACAACAGAAAACCAGAAATCGTTTCCGTTTAGCAAAGAACAGATTGAGCAACTCTATCACCTTCTCAACCAGTCACCTGCCTCATCCTCGTCAACTACAAATCTTGGATCCTGTTCTATAGCCCAGATTGGTAACTTTCACTCATCTTTAAAGTCTACCCTTCACTCTAAGGAACCATGGATCATTGATTCTGGTGCCTCCGACCATATGACAGGTGTTTCTGATTTTTTTCTCTCTTATACCCCTAGTCATAGTCTTGCTAAAGTGAAAATTGCATATGGATCCTTATCTTCTGTTGCTAGAATAGGTTCAATCAAAGTATCCAAATACTTAACACTTGAGTTGGTCCTTCATGTTCCTACCTTAAGATGCAATTTGTTATCCATAAGTAAACTCACTCGCGATAATAACTGTGCTGCCATTTTTCACCATTCTACATGTTATTTTCAGGACCTATTATCGGGGAGGACGATTGGCAGTGCTAGAGTTCATAAGGACTTTACTACCTCGAGGACATAGAGAATGAGAGTCAACAAGCATTTGCATCTAGAGTTTCATCAGTTTATGTTTCTAGTAATAGGGAAATAATGTTGTGGCATCATAGACTTGGCCACCCTAATTTTTTATATTTAAAACATTTGTTACCACCCTTATTCAAGAATAAAAGTACTATTTCTTTTCATTGTGACATTTGCCAATATGCAAAACACACTCGGGTACCATTTTCTCTTAAACCTTATATGCCCTCTAGCCCATTTGCTTTAATTCATAGTGATATCTGGGGACCATCAAGAATTACCACAACAAATGGAAAAAGATGGTTTGTGACATTTATTGATGATCACACACGAACAACTTGGGTATACCTTCTTTGAGAAAAATCAGACACCTGCCAAGTGTTCCAAAATTTCAATAACATGATTCATACCCAGTTTCAGAAAAAAGTTTGTGTCTTGAGAACAGACAACGGGAGAGAATACTTTCAGTCTATCTTGGG